CTGTGTTGAAGCTTTAGGCCTTTCCGTCAAATCTGAGTGGCGATCTTGGTTCCACAATCATCAGGTTACAGTTCATTATGAAAATGATTGTTTACAGTCGATTTATTTTTTTTGATAAAAGGTTACCGTTGATTTATACTCAGCTGTTTTTTGGTCAATTAAAAGTCAATACATGATTTTTTAGCCAAACTAGTGTTTAGTTAAAAATTACAATTTTCTCTATCTTTTTTTGTTAGCCTAAATCATCATCGTAGATTCTACATTTGTTTTTAGGTATTTTTTGTCCAATTTTCTGTTTGTAATTTGTTGTTTCTTTAGGTGGGAGGGAGGATAACGGAGTACGACGGAGGGTTAACGTTTGTAACGGTGAGAGGAGCTGGACATTTGGTTCCTCTCAATAAACCTGAAGAAGCCCTCGCGCTTTTCCGTTCCTTTATCAACGGTCAAGAACTTCCGTCACGCCCTTAGATATCATCATATTCATATCATATACTCCTGTTTTGTTACAGATTATAAAATAAAGCATGCATAACTAATCATTCCAAACACAGATTAACATGCTACTGTTCTATGTCCACTATCCAACCATCTTATAATTAATAAATAATAATATATTTGTTATAACACATATCATATGTGGACTCTTATACCGGCCCATTAGGCCCATCAGGGCATTGTACTTAACCTAGATTCCCTATGTACTCTATATATACATTCCAGTGATTAATAAAGTTTCTAAGTTTTCACAACACGTTATCAGCACGATAAGACTCTCTGAGCGAAAAACCCTAATAAATCCGGCCACCACCAAAACCCTAAAAGCAAGTCGAAACTTAAAAGACGCATATCTTCCAAACCGTGAGGAACCAGAAGACGATCTACATATCAAATCGAAGCCCTCGACGAGACGAATCTACTGGTGAAAACCGTTTGTCGATCCAACGTCGGACGCGCCCTCACGCACACTTACAGTACACGACGATCAACCAAAAAAAAAAAAAACCAGATCCGAGTTTTTCCTTCTTCAACCAGCAGCTTCTCCAGTTTTGGTGATCAATCCTTGGAATTTGTAGCGGCTAACTGAGGTCTATTAGCTCCCAGTTTCATTAGCCTGTCAGAAATCCAAAGGTGGAAAAGCACACCAGCAAATGGAAACCATAGTCGTAGATAGTGGATCCAGCCACACTATCTTAAGAAACAAAAGTTACTTCATAAACCTAACCTATCAAACCGCAAATATTAGCACCATCGCGGGTCCCTCAAACCTTATCGAAGGATATGGCCATGCCTATGTGTTGCTATCAAATGGCACACAACTTGAAATACCAGATGCTCTATATTCTCCTAGTTCGAAGAGAAATCTTCTGAGCTTCAAGGATATAAGACAGAATGGTTTCCACATAAACCCAAGGTCAAGGGAACAAAGAATCCCTCCTAGTCACTAAAACCGTAGACGGCCATAAACAAATCCTCGAAACCATACCCGCGCTCTCTACTGGACTTTACCATGCTAAAGTCAGTATGATTGAAGCTAATACCACTCTCAAAGCCCGGTTTACTGATTATACTATTTGGCACGACCGGCTCGGTCATCCCGGTGCAAATATGATGCGTAAACTAATTCAAAACTCTCAAGGGCATACCCTCAAAGAAAACCGAGCTAATCCTCAACACCTCATGTGCACAGCTTGTTCTCAAGGCAAATTGATCACTCGGCCTTCACCAGTTAAAATCTCTAAACAAACACTTTATTTCCTAGAAAGAATCCAGGGCGATATCTGTGGACCTATACATCCATCTTCCGGACCATTCCGGTACTTCATGGTCCTTATAGACGCATCGACCCGTTGGTCATATGTTTGTCTCTTGTCCTCTCGGAACCAAGCCTTCGCTAGGTTCTTGGCCCAAATCATAAAATTGCGGGCCCATTTCCCTGACTTCCCACTAAAGACTATCCGCCTTGACAATGCTGGTGAATTTACCTCACAAGCGTTTAATGACTACTGTATGGCCATGGGGGTAACCGTGGAACATCCTGTAGCACATGTCCATACTCAAAATGGATTGGCTGAATCATTCATTAAACGCATTCAATGGATAGCCCGACCATTACTCATAAGATCAAAGCTCCCGGCCTCAGCATGGGGACATGCAGTATTACATGCTGCTGAACTCATACGCATCCGGCCATCTAGTGAACACAAATATTCCCCATCCCAACTACTCTCGGGTCATGAGCCAGACATCTCCCATCTCAAAACATTTGGGTGTTCAGTATATGTACCCATTGCTCCACCACATCGAACCAAAATGGGACCTCAAAGAAGGATGGGAATATATGTTGGTTTTGACTCTCCCACCATCATAAGATATCTCGAGCCAACCACTGGAGATCTCTTCAAGGCCAGATATGCGGATTGCCAATTCGATGAATCGGTATATCCCTCTTTAGGTGGTGAGACAAACAAGCTGGTCAAAGATCTTTCATGGAATCAAACATCATTAAATTGGCAAGATCCTCGGACTCTAGAATGTGATTCAGAGATCCAAAATATTATTCATTATCAAAAGCTAGCTAATCAATTGCCAGATTCCTTTGCTGACCCGACCAAAGTAACCAAATCGTACATCCCAGCTTGTAATGCACCAGTACGAATAGCTGTCCCAACGGGACAGACCCAAGTTGCTACAGAGTCTGCACCACGTCTCAAACGGGGCAGACCTCTCGGTTCCAAAGATAAGAATCCCCGGAAATCAAAGAAAGGTGCAATAACCGAAACCGGGATTCCTGCAACATCAGACATAGCCGCGGCTGAGACTCAATCTAATGAACCCTCAATGGAAGTTCGGGACGCCGAATCTCCAGGTTCAGAAGATAACAATGAGATCTCCATCAATTACAATATGTCCGGAATACAATGGAATCGAAAAGAAGTCGACTTAAAGGCACTCTTTGCATACAAAGTAGCACTTGATGTTGCGCTCACGCAAGAGGATCTAGAACCCACGTCAATAACACAGTGTACACATCGAACAGATTGGCTAAAATGGAAAGAAGCCATAAACGTGGAGTTAAAGAGTCTCAAACTCAGAAACGTGTTCGGTCCGATCATCCGGACCCCATCACACATCAAGCCAGTGGGCCACAAATGGGTCTTTGTGCGCAAAAGGAACGAACTCGGTGAAGTCGTTCGATACAAAGCACGGCTTGTAGCACAAGGATTCTCACAGAGACCCGGAATCGATTATGAGGAGACTTATTCTCCAGTGGTGGATGCAACAACATTCCGATTCCTCATAAGTCTGGCCATAAGAGAAAATCTTGATCTGCGGTTAATGGATGTTGTAACCGCATATCTCTATGGGCCCCTGGACAACGAAATATATATGAGACTCCCAGATGGCATTGAACTAAAAGACAAAAATGCATCTCGAGATCAATACTGCATCAGGCTGAACAAATCCTTGTATGGACTGAAACAAAGTGGGCGTATGTGGTACAACCGCCTCAGCGATTACCTCATCAAAGAAGGCTACAAAAATGACCCCATCAGTCCATGCATCTTCATCAAGAAGTACTCAAACAAAGGTTTTGTAATCATAGCAGTATACGTGGATGATCTAAACATCCTCGGAACATCTGGTGAGATCTCCCAAACAGTCGACTGCTTAAAAGCAGAATTCGAAATGAAAGACCTAGGCAAAACAAAGTACTGTTTGGGATTACAACTTGAGTACATCAAAGGAGGAATCCTTGTGCATCAATCGACTTATATCGAAAAGGTACTCAAGCGATTTAATATGGACCAAGCTCACCCATTGACCAGCCCAATGGTAGTTAGAAGCTTAAGTGATGACCCTCTTGGTCCCAAAAAGGATGATGAAGAAATCCTTGGTCCTGAAAAGCCATACCTCAGTGCTGTAGGAGCGTTAATGTACCTGGCTAGTCACACTAGACCAGACATATGTTTCGCCGTGAACCTCCTCGCTCGATATAGTTCATCTCCAACTCAGAGGCACTGGAACGGTATAAAACATCTCCTAAGATACCTTCGAGGTACTCAAGACTTAGGACTCTTCTATACTAACCAAAATAAAGATGGGTTAGTCGGCTTCGCCGATGCAGGATATCTATCAGATCCGCACACTGCCAAGTCTCAAACTGGCTACGTTTTTACGCATGGAGGAACAGCCATCTCTTGGAGATCAATGAAGCAGACACTCACTGCCACTTCATCAAACCATGCTGAAATCATAGCCATTCATGAGGCTAGTAGGGAATGCGTCTGGCTGCGCTCCATGACTCAGCACATCCGCAGAGATTGTGGTATGGACGAAGACACACAGCCCACGGTGATGTATGAAGACAACGCGGCATGCATAGCTCAGCTCAAGGAAGGATATATCAAAGGAGATCGGACGAAGCACATTCTACCGAAGTTCTTCTCAACCTCAGACTGGCAGAAGGACGGCACTCTCAGCGTTCAGCAAGTCCGATCCAGTGAGAATTCAGCTGACCTCTTCACCAAATCATTGCCTACTTCAACACACCGGAAGCTCGTCAAACAGATAGGAATGTATAGACTTAGAGATCTGCAGTGATGCTACAATCAGGGGGAGTAATGCGTGTTGTACTCTTTTTCCTTCACCATGGTTTTGTCCCACTGGGTTTTCCTGGTAAGGTTTTAATGAGGGAACATTCCCCAACGCATTATCGAGATCCCGATTGAGTAGCTGACCCGGTTCACTCGTCCAAGGGGGAGTGTTATAACACATATCATATATGGATTCTTATACCGGCCCATTAGGCCCATCAGGGCATTGTACTTAACCTAGATTCCCTATGTACTCTATATATACATTCCAGTGATTAATAAAGTTTCTAAGTTTTCACAGATTACATTTAATAGAATATTTACATTTGGTTGTTTGTTTAGGCTTAAAAAAAACAAATCCTTGGTTAAGTTAACAGAAACGGCATCGTTTAATGAACACATCCTCTTCAGGTTAGACCCAAAGCGATGTTTCACTCCCACTCAGCTCCGTTCTGGTCACTCGAGTCCCGGACAGGCGTGACATGAGAGGCTTTGCTTCTTCAGCATCCAGAGCAGCGGCGGCAACAGTGAAACCGGCCGAATCCCTAAATCCAAAACCCTTGAAACCCCTACTTCCCTCAGGTAAACCCACCAATCCTATTGACCGGCGTTACATTTCGCAAATCATTGGGAGAAAAGATTGGTTTTTGGTTCTGAAGCAGGAATTTAGTGCTCATAGAATCGGCCTGAACCATCGGTTCGTCATCAGCGTTTTGCAGAATCAAGAAAACCCATTACACTCCCTTCGATTTTACCTCTGGGTCTCTAACACCGACCCGGTTTACGCTAGGGATCAGTCTCTGAAGAGCGTTCTAGGTAACGCCTTTTTCCGTAAAGGTCCTTTATTGCTGTCTATGGAGCTTCTTAAGGAGATTCGGGATTCAGGGTATCGTATTACTGACGAATTGATGTGTGTTTTGATCGGAAGTTGGGGGAGATTAGGTTTAGCGAAATACTGCAATGATGTTTTTGCGCAGATATCTTTCCTAGGAATGAAACCTAGCACAAGGCTTTACAATGCGGTAATCGATGCTTTGGTGAAGTCTAACTCGCTTGATTTGGCTTACCTGAAGTTTCAGCAAATGCGTAGTGATGATTGTAAACCGGATCGGTTCACCTACAATATACTCATCCATGGTGTTTGCAAGAAGGGTGTGGTTGATGAGGCGATTCGATTGGTTAAACAGATGGAACGAGAAGGGAACAGGCCCAATGTGTTCACATTCACGATTTTGATTGACGGGTTTTTGATCGCAGGAAGGGTTGAGGAGGCATTGAAGCAGCTGGAGACGATGCGATCGAGGAAGCTGAATCCTAACGAAGCCACAATCAGAACTTTGGTTCATGGGATTTTCCGTTGCTTGCAGCCTTGTGAAGCGTTTGAGGTTCTGCTTGAGTTTATCGAGAAAAACTCGAACTTGCAAAGAGTAGCTTATGATACTGTTCTGTGTTGTCTTTCAAGCAACTCAATGGCTAAAGAGACTGCTCTATTCTTGAGAAAAACAGGCGAGCGAGGCTATGTTCCAGATAGCTCAACGTTCAATGCTTCAATGATTTGTCTCTTGAAAGGGTATGATCTTACTGAGATGTGTGGGATATTTGACGAGTTTATCAGCCGAGGAGTTAAGCCAGGATTCAACGGTTATCTTGTGGTAGTTAAAGCTCTGTTGAGTGCTCAAAGGTTCTCTGAAAGTGACCGGTATCTGAAGCAAATGGGTGTTGACAGGCTTCTATCAAGTGCGTATGATTATAATGCGGTAATCGACTGTCTCTGCAAGGCTCGACGAACAGATCGTGCAGCTATGTTCTTAACAGAGATGCAGGATAGAGGTATTTCTCCAAGTCTCGTAACTTTCAATACTTTTCTAAGCGGTTATAGTGCGAACGGCGATGTAAAGAAGGTTCACGAAGTACTAGAAAAGCTTCTGGACCATGGTTGCAAACCAGACGTGATCACTTTCAGTTCAGTCATAAACTGTCTTTGTCGTGCAAAGGAAATAAAAGATGCATTTGACTGTTTCAAGGAGATGCTGGAATGGGGGATTGAGCCGAACGAGATTACATACAATATCCTGATTCGCTTCTCTTGTTCCACCGGAGATACCGGTAGATCAGTGAAGCTTTTTGCGAAGATGAAGGAAAACGGGTTAAGTCCAGACGTTTATGCGTACAATGCGGTTATTCAGAGTTTCTGCAGGATGAGAAAGGTTAAGAATGCTGAGGAATTGCTTAAAACGATGTTGAGGATTGGTTTGAAACCTGATAACTTTACATACAGCACTCTCATCAAAGCTCTAAGTGAATCTGGAAGGGAGAGTGAAGCAAGAGAGATGTTCAGTTCAATGGAAAGACATGGATGTGTTCCAGATTCGTATACTAAGCGTCTTGTTAAAGAACTTGACCTGAGAAAGAGTTGATTATACAACAGAGATTTTTCTTACACCTTTAATCATCGTTTCGGTACTGACATCAACAACCTTCCATGAATTAAAGTTCCAGCTCACAAATTCGGTGTTTACGTCTTAGCCATCCAAAATATCCCAAGATTTTTGTGGCTACAAAAGCTAGTTTTTCGTCCTATGTTTCCTTCATGGGCTTGGACTATCAAATAAAGCCCAATAGAATTTGTGTATGTATTTATTTGTTTTATAGTATGAACCGGAAAAATGTATAGAAGATCATCATCGTTACCTTTATTAGTTAATCATATCACTGAAGGGAAAAAAGTTAAAGAAAAAACTGAAATCTAAAGACTCATTTTAAATTTTTAAATTCATTATTTATTTTTCAAATTTTAGATATTTTTACTTGAACCACAATAACTATAAACTAGCAAACTATTTAAAAATGAACATTATTTTGTGTCGGCAATATACATAAAGAAAAGTGAGCCTAAGCCGCAATATCTTGTTCAAAACGCGGCGGGTTATCTTCCCTCGTTTTTTTTTCTTCAGATTCTTGCAAGTTTTGGCGGGTGGTCTAATATTAATAAAAGCTCCCGCTCGAGGGTATCTTAGTAAATGTATCACCCCCGAAATCCTAGGGTTTCCGCCCCCGCCTTCCTTCCCAATTATAAAAGCACTCTCCGTTTGTTTTAACCGTTGCTTTTCATTCGCCGTCTCTCTCTCTCTTCCTTATCATCATAATTGCTCCGATCGGGCATCCTGAAAGATGTCTGAGGGATCAGAAGAAACGAGAACGAAGCTCGATTCCGCCGGAGAGTTATCGGATGTTGATAACGAGAACTGCAGTAGCAGTGGAAGTGGCGGCGGTGGAAGTTGTGGTGAGACGAAGAGGACTTGCGTTGATTGCGGAACAATTCGAACTCCTCTCTGGCGAGGTGGCCCTGCCGGACCTAAGGTGAGATTGCGCAAACCCGTTCACTTTCAATCTTCTGGATCATGGATTTTGTTGGGGTTTCCTGATTTAGTAGATCTGCTCCGTGGATCGTGAAATAGTACCTGAGTACGATCAAAGCTTATGCTCGCAAAATCACGGTTCAGGATACTTTACTGTAAATTGATTGGTTTTTTGGTTGTACTGATTTTGATCGTTTCGTAGAGCTATCTAGGTGATGTAGCTAGTTAGTGAGCTAGGGACTGATTTAGTTTGCCTCTTGAAATCTGCATGTGTTCTTTTAATGATCAAGAGAAATCGCAATCTTTTGAGAATGTTGATCATACTTTGTGAGCTAAAATCAATTTTAGTTTGTAGTCGAGTGTATCTGATTTGGAACTGTCACTTGCTGTGTGTATTCGATTATCTTCTTGCTCTGGCCAATCTACTTGTAAATGTCAATTGGTTTACACTGTTATCCAGCGAAAATCTCTGCCTTTCACTGATATTCATTTCTTTGTTATGCAGTCATTGTGCAATGCTTGTGGGATCAAGAGCAGGAAGAAGAGGCAAGCAGCTCTTGGAACGAAACCAGAGGAGAAGAAGAAAGCCAGAAAGAGCAGTAGCAGTAGTGATCTAAGCGTCGAACATCAAAATGCCAAGAACAAGATCAATAAAGATGATGATCCCAAAAGTTGCAGCAGCAGCAAAAGCATTAGTAGTAGTAGCAGCAGCAAAGGAGTGAGTAAATTTTTGGATCTAGGGTTTAAAGTTCCGGTGATGAAGAGATCAGCGGTTGAGAAGAAGAGGCTATGGAGGAAACTCGGTGAGGAAGAAAGAGCCGCCGTGCTTCTCATGGCGCTCTCTTGTGGCTCTGTTTACGCTTAAGCGAAGAAGAAAAGCTTCTTTGTTTCTTTTTTGGGTGTCGTTAGGAAAATAATTATGTGAGAGGTTTATTAATTAACTAGATAGATATATATATATATATATATATATATATGTACGAATGTGTAATAGCTAGCGTGATGTCTTTCTTTTTTTTTGTTTAGGTTCACTAATGTTATGTATTCATTCGCTTATGAATTCCAATTTTGAGAGCAAATCAATTTAATTGAAGGTGTTATTTCATCTAATTATACGCATTAATCAGATCGTTTGTCATAGTTCTCACGCGCTGTTTGATGCGCGTCGGCTCAGCGATATGATCCAGGAATTGGGCTTTTTTTGTGGCAATCAAGATGCCGCGTGATTTTAGTTGTCTTGTCTCTATCAAGGCCACTTTATTTGTTTGGTCCATATGGCTTCCTTTCTCATTTGATTTGAATTCTTAAATGGTTTTTGAATTCACAACAAAGTCAAGAATTTCAAATATTTTGGTTTTGAGAGTTTCTTTACTCTCTAACTATTGCACAACAAAAATACTACTATAACGTAACCGAGGTTAGTATCCAACTTTCCATTGATTTGAATCGATCATTGTTATTCTCTATTTGCACTTGGCAGAGTAAATTTTGTGAGATTAAATTACTTTAATCAAATTACCTTAAATATTGGAAAGGAAGTTAATTTTTCTCTCTCCTCTTCTCCTTCTCTGCGATTTCAAGATCTGAACTTGCAGTCAAACTAAAACTTCCCGATCTCCCTCTTCGGCGCGCGTGGTGGCTCACCGTCGCCGGAGGAGGGACCCCCATGTTTCCCTCTTTCTTCTGCATCTCTTTTTTTCTCTTTAGATCTGGTTTCCGCCGTGCTGGGTGTTGCAGGAACGATGGTGGTTTCGTCGGTGGGTTCTCGACGACAGCGGCGCGGGCTTCAGCGGTGTCGCTGGATCCGCGGTGGAGGTGGTCCGTCTTCATTCGTAGTTGGCGTCCCCCTCTGTCTGCCTTCGTTTTTTCCGGCGTCTCTTCCTCTCTTCTCGCATCTGGCTTCTTTTTCTCTCCGGCGTGTTTCCTCGGCGTTTCTTTTAGAGTCTCCTGCCTCAGACGAGCTCTCTGGCTTTAGTCGAAGGTGTGCAGGTGGTGGCTGTCTCTTCCGGCTACAGTCCCTCTCAAACTTCGTTCGCGAGGTGTCGAAGTGGTGGCTAGATAGTAAAGAGCTTCTGTCAATTCCAGCGGTCCAGTATTGGATTTTGAGGACGAATTTGATCTCTGGCTTAAGGGATTTTGGCAGCGGCTTTTGGCTTGTGACAAGCCTCGGAGTGGTGGCTCTCGTATCTCCGGCAGGTGCGGTCTATCGACGGTGTCTCTCAGCGGTGGCTCAAGACGGGTGGCTCGGTGGTTGCCCCGCTGGTTTGTCTCAGCTTTTGGCTCCTCCGCCGTCTACGGCATCGGTGTGGCATGAGATACCGATGCCATGAGATTTTTCGAAGGTGCGTGTGTCCGATTATATGCGATAGCTCTGCGTTTGTGTATAGTTCTTGGTTTGTGGTGGCTCTGGATGTGATCCGGTGTAGATGGTGGAGTATTACTGGACGTGATTGTTGAGGCGTCGGTTTGTTGTTGTGGCTAGTTTGTAGCTGTGGGAGCTGGTTCTCGAGGAAATTCGTTTTTTTCGGGAATGGTAGTCCGAGGTGACTCTCCGATGGCCCTTGCGGACTCCCTTGTCAACGGTTGCAGGTTAGTCCGTTACGGAATCCGGAAATTTCGTTAGTTCTCGGGGAAGCTGTAGGCGTTTCTCTTTTGAGGTTTGAGGGCTGGCCTCGGGAAGATGCTCGTGGCAACAAAGATGAGAACTCTAATTCTTCGGAGCTGTGGCAATTACGGGGTGATCTGCGTTTTGGCGTGCGACTGCTGCTTTCCCGTCTGGTTTTGCTTCGGTTTTATTTTTAATTTCACAATCCATTTTCTTATGCTTTCGTTGATGTTTGTTGCATTTATCGGATTTGTTAGTAGTTTTTTATTTTTGGTCTTTCTGATTTCTTTGTAATCTCTGTAACTTCTGTAAAAAATCCGAAAATTGGTATATAATTTTAACATGTTTACCAAAAAAAAAAAGTTTTTTTTTTTTAAAACATTGCAAAGTTGGTCGTAACTTGTAAGCCTTACCAAAAGTAAATTTCAAAAACAATTGTTTTTTTTATAAATATGATTCAATCTTAGTAACCCGTCATTATATGATCGTCAATGATGGACCATCAGAATTAAGAATGATTTGTTTTATATGGCAAAGTCATGAGTTATGGATATAATTATAGTGGTGACTGGTGACGAACGAAGTAAAAAAAAAAACTAATGAAATTGGTGACGTGACTAGGTAAACCTCGAGAACAATTCAAATATTGGGGGCAAGCGACTGGACCCCATACTTTGCTCAACGGGGATTTCCTTTGACGGAGGCTCTTCTTTTCTGTTTTCACCCTGAAACTATGCAATCAGTTAAATTTAGGACCATTACTTCTTGATTTTACACTTGCACTCCGGAAGACATTCTTATAATTTTATTACTTGTATGACAAACTACTACACTACGGTCTACGGACGTTTTTATTTTAAAGTATATAGATTAGTAACTGAAGTAAGAATAGAGTATTAAGTTACATTTAGGAGTAACATTTCTAAAGATGTTGAGCAGGAGGAGGAGCTAAATCAATACTTAGAAACTGAAAATCCCACATGAATTATAATTCATTTGAATTTCAATAAAGTGCATAAGCGATTAAAAAATGAAATAAATGAGGCAAGATTTAACATATAAACTGTTACAAGTACATTAAAAAGAAAGTTGGGATAGATTTAAAAAGACAACTTCTTTATAATCCTCCTCACATTGGTAACAATTTCTTTACAAGTTTCTATGAACAATTTCTTTGACATCCATCATCTTCTATGCTCTATCGTTTTGATTCAGATATTACACCCTTCTAGGAAAATCAAATCAGTAATTTCACATTACTATCGAATCAATTTTTTCGACTCATATTTCCATAAACGCTATTTTTTGTTATTCGATTAGAGAATTCGTTTTCCTTTTTTGATCTTCACGAAATCAATTATAAATTAAGTCTCCATAGAACCTCTTAAATATTACATCACACTCTCGTTCCATCCAAAGATTCCATAAAAACACTCATAAAATCATTGAAATTGATCAAATAATAGTAAGAAATATCTTCATAATAAACCATGATCAAAATGTAAGCCTCAACTAATATCAGCCAACTAAACACACGGATTCAAAAGTAGTTTATTTCGTCAAATGTAAACAGAAAATTATTTTAAAACCTAGTCTCTAAAGTAAACTATGTTCGATATCAGATTATATGAGTTGACGCCGAGATAAACATATATACATACAAATTTTTACACCGCCGATATGAGTTGGGGGGGTTGCAGTCTTGATTGATAGAAATAAATGGTTCATCTTGTAATTTCAAAAATAATAATTACAGTCTCTTTCATAAGTTTGCAACCTTTGTTTACTTCAACAAGAAAACATTCTGAAAATGCGACCAAAAACGCGCACATAATTTTATTACAACAGCGTCTATTAAGCTGTTCTCTTGTTAACGCGGTCGCTTCCTCTCTTCAAAATAAAAAAAGCGGCGATTTTTTCCACCTTTTAAATCTCAAAAATCCATTTTTAAAAAGAGAGTTTTTTTTTGTGAGTAAGGAGATGATTATGATTGTCAAGAGTTTAACTCCGAAACTCGTTCCATGGATCCTCTTGCTGTCTCTCTTCACGGCGATTTCACTAACGTCGTCTCAGCCCAACGCTCCTCCAACAATCTCTCCAGACGCAAATCGCTGCAACGGCGTGTTCGTCTCCTACACTTACTCGACCGGATCCGATATCAAACCGAACGACACTAAAAACCAGCCGTACCGGTTCGAGTCGGTGATCACGGTGCTCAACAACGCTCGCGACGAGCTCAAGTCGTGGCGCGTCTTCGTCGGATTCGCCCACCAAGAGATTCTTGTTTCGGCCACCAACTCTGTTCTCGGCGACGGTTCTAGCCTTCCGGCTAGCGTTGGGAACGGGACAACCTTCGTCGGGTATCCGACGGCGGATTTGAAGTCGGCGATTATGACGGCGGGTGACGTCACTCAGATGCAAGCACGTGTCGAGCTCGTCGGAACTCAGTTTGGAGTTGCTCCGCCGAATGTTCCACTTCCGAAGAACATCACTCTTGTTAATGATGGATGGAAATGTCCTAAACCCACTCAACAAGGTAAAAGAAAAAAGATTATCTAAATGTTTACGACTTGAAATCTTGAAATTTTGTTCTGTACAAAAAAAGGAAGAAATTTTGTTATGTAAAATGGAATTTGATTTTTGTTTGTATTTTCTCGTTTGATTATTCAAGTTTTTTCTTCTTTGTTAATCTCATTATGAAAGAACAATAAAAGTGTTAAAACTTTTTGAGAAATGATATAACATTGATTAGTTCTACTTGATAATAATCAGTGGTTGAAAAAGTCTATTGCTTTTGTAGATTTCTTGTACATTTGAAAGTTTGAATTAGTCTTTAATTATATTTTAAGTTGCTTAGGAGAAATTTCTGATTAAAACATTAGGAAACTAAGCTGTTCTGTCTTTTGTAGTAACAGTTGAGTACTTTTGTTTGTGTTGTGCCTTAAAATGTATTGGAGATTTCTGCTGTTAATGCGTATAAATGTTTCCTTTTGTGTGTTTTACTGAAATTTCGAATCCTTCTCCTATGGTTTTGTTCAGGTAAAAATGTTCTGCAAGTATGCTGCATGCCAGGTCAGAGAAACAAAACGGTCTCCATCGGTGAAAAGTATCTGCCTAGGCAACAAGGAGATCTAACCATCATGTACGATGTGACCAAAGCATATAGTTCGAGTTACTGGGCGCAGGTCACGATCGAGAATCATAATCCGCTTGGTAAGCTTGACAACTGGAATCTAAGTTTTACTTGGATGAAAGATGAGTTCATCTTCAAAACATTAGGAGCTTATCCGAGTCTTGTAGATCCATCTGAATGTATCAATGGCCCGCAAGGAAAACACTATCCACACACTGACTTCTCCAATGTCATGAGCTGTGCCAGAAGGCCACACATCATTGACCTCCCTCTCACTAAGTATAACGACTCCAATCTTGGACTCAAACCATTCTGCTGCAGAAACGGAACGATCTTGCCACCGTCCATGGATCCAGCCAAGTCCAAATCAGTTTTCCAAATGGAAGTTTACAAAATGCCTCCTGATCTCAACATCACAGCGATCACGCCTCCTCAGAGCTGGCAGATTAGAGGTAACCTTAACAACCCGGATTACAAATGTGGCCCTCCTGTTCGAGTCAGCTCTAGCCATTTCCCTGATCCAAACGGTTTACCTTCGAACCGGGTCGTATTTGCTAGCTGGCAAGTGGTCTGCAACATCACTCAACCAGCTACTCCTCAATGCTGTGTTTCCTTCTCTTCTTACTTCAACGACTCGATCATTCCTTGTAAAACATGCGCTTGCGGAGGTTGCTCTAGCGACAGAGTGGCTCGCACGTGTAGCACCACTTCTACAGCTCTTTTCCTTCCCTCTCAGGCTCTTCTCATCCCTTTCGAGAACCGAACCGAGCTAGCCACTTCGTGGGCAAGGTTAAAACGCAGGAGAGTTCCTGAGCCATTGCCTTGTGGAGATAACTGTGGAGTTACCATCAATTGGCATCTAACCACTGACTACAGAGGTGGATGGACTGCTCGGATCACAATCTTCAACTGGGGAGAAACCAACTTCGCTGATTGGTTTGCTGCGGTTGAGTTGAAAAAAGGTGCACCGGGTTTTGAGAAAGCTTACTCCTTTAATGGAACTACGGTTGCTGTCAACGGGAAGAACACTACAGTTTTGATGGAAGGGCTTCCTGGTCTTAACTATCTCGTTGCAGAGACGGATGGGAAAAACCCGAGCAAGGACTTTCGAGTACCCGGTAAACAACAGTCGGTTATCTCCTTCACCAAGAAACTGACTCCTGGGATCAAACTTGGTTCTGGAGATGGGTTTCCGACCAAAGTGTTCTTCAACGGTCAGGAATGTTCACTCCCATCTGTGCTTCCCACGAACAACGGTCTCAAGAGACATGTGTCCACTTTTCTTCTCGTTGCGTTACCACTTTTTGCTCTCTTGATTCTGCAGAGTTAAGAGTAGTTTCTTCCGGTGATTGAGCTTTCCCTATTTGGCCAGAAAACATACACAGTTATTTTTTATTCTTTCTAACCAGATTTGTTACACAATTAGTATTGGTTTTGTGCAACGTGTGATTCTTGAATTTCTTGATATTCAGTAGGTATACATATATTGGACATACAGAAAGCCCTTGTGGTTTAGTTTCTCTTGATCTTGAATTCTTGACCTTGTACCACAGAATATTTATAAGCCAATTCAAAACCCAGAAGAGAGGAAGAAAAAGCAGCAATAAACCAACCAACTAAGACGACGTCTTATTATCGCAAGTTAGAACATCAAAACCCTAAACAGACCAAGGAGAGTAGCATAATAACTCCTAACTTAAAAGAATAATTATACAAGCACTTTTCTTATATAATCTGCCTTTTAAAATTTCACGCAGATTATATTAAACAAATTTCACCAACGAGGGTTATACAGTTATAAGCAGATGTGTCGTGTAATGATGATACAATACAAATCCTGATAGTCCCTTCGGTTTATCGGCAGTTATCCAATCAAACCGGGATATCATCGATCGAGTATGCGTCAAAGTCGAATTCGGTATCGACCGGTGCAATTCCTTCCTGTGACAACACGAGATTGTGGTTTTCCCAACTTTTGTTAAGTCAACGTTTCAATTACAACTGCTTGTTGTTCGTTGAAATTTGAAATATGAGACAAATTATAAAAGAAATATCCAAAAAGTTGACTTCTTTTTAATTTCTTGTTAAATATTTAGACCTACATTCTTGAATGTTGTTTCACTAAAATAAATTCTTGGTTTTCTTTTTTTTCTGGTTATATAGTGGTAGTTTGCGTGATTGTGAATGACACACGCGAACAATGGTGTGAAAGAGTCTGAAACTGTTATATATTTCAGTTTGAAACGCAAACTCTAAAGCTAAAGAGTTGTGATGTGCGTAGGCGATCTATATTTTTTTTTAAAAAAAAAAAATCAAACCTGCTTAAGAAGAGCGCTCATAAGATCTTCTTGATTACTATACTGGTCGTGGAACGCCATTGTCGCTGTATCCGTCGCCACCCTCTCCGCTTTCACCCTCACTGAACCGCCGCTTCTGTCTCCATAAACCTGATGATTCGAGACCATGCCAGGCGGTGGCTGCTGCTGCTGGCTCCGGCCATGATCGCTGGCCGTGTTGTTTCTTGACATGGACGAAGAAGAGTATGCTTCCGAGTTGGAAAACGCAACTGATTCAGCGTCCTGATGCGCGTCAAAGGCTATTCCGATACTCCTTATATCCCAATCGTTCTGTCTGTTGCTGCTGAACATGTCGTAGCTAGGGGCAGTGAAACCTGCTTCCGAGCTGTTGACCTCTTCTTGGTAAGAGGAGATTGGTTTCCGAACCTGAGACGGAACACATAAGCCTGGTGCACTCGGTAGCGGGAAGCTGTTCACGGGGAGTTCTTGTTGGAAGTTGTTAAAGGTCATTGAGCTTGACGAGTGTTGTGTTGCGAGGTTGGTGTAACTTGTAGGTAACACTCTGCTGCTCTCCGGGACACTGCTCCTTCCCGAGAAACCACTTCTTGATAACATTGGCTGCTGCCTGATGGATGATGATTGTGACGACGGTAACACAGGCGGTGGTGGTCCTCGAGGAAATGGCTGAGTCATCATCATTCCGGTGTTTTGTCCGGCTCGAACCGCGGCGATCTGTTGTTGAATGCTCATTCTATTACCAACAGGAAGCTGTTGTTGTAAACCAGCGAGCTGTCTTGGTTCCATACCCGTGGGGACACCGTGAAGCAAGTTCATCTGTTGTGTCTGTTGTTGTTGGCCGTGATGGCCAAGCCCATCTCCGAATCTTGTTTTCGGGTTGTCAAAGCTGAAGATGCTTCTCTCGTCCACGATTGAGGAAACAGGTAATCCTGACTTGGAGACCATCGCAGGCCGGCCTAGACCAGCGGCTTGAAGCTGTGCAAGGCTTTGAGCAGGAAGCTGACCTGTGACTGCTAGCGCTTGAAGATCAAACCCATTCAATGTCGA